GCTCACAGGGTTATACCAAAATAAATAAACTGAAAATAAAAAACTAAAAAAAAAACCTGGCCAATCACCCCGGTGGAATCGATACAACGAGCACCATTTTGTGAGAAATCAATAGTGGTTATCTTTTTGAACAGACTGGCCCATGCCACAAGACTGTGGAATTTCCACCAATGGTTCAGGGATGAAGAGCACTGCTCAATGCTTGTTTGAGAAGAGTGCAAGTGACCCAAATGTGAGGGAAAATAGCAAGAGAATTACATTTGAACAAAAACTGATTGGCATGCCCATCCCATGAACAACGAGCGGAGCAGCTGAGTGTAATTTGTTCCCTAGAAAGGAGGGAAGAGTTTCCCACGTGGCTCAGACTGAGTAAAGGAGCGAGCCAAAAGTTAGCGAGGAGTGGCAGCTCACGGATGGAGCAGATTTACATGGAAGGGAAAATTCTCGTCGTGTCACGCAAAGGCCACATTCTCATAGTGACCAAACAGCTAAATTACATTATGGGACCTTTTTTGCCGGGAAAAAAAGTATGATTTTTATTTTTATTTTGCTCCTCAACCCGAGCTATAAATTATCTGATACGTGCATTGTCTTAGTACTATTCGACGTTTGGCGTCCTCAGGTCTGGCACTGGTGAGACTAAGCCATACAGAAGGATATCTCTGGTGTAGGCAAATCCGTTTCAAGGACAACGCAAATATTATTAAAGCACGTGTTTGCATGCTCACCACAAGTACGTGTGGTTGATGCAGACTTTATTCCTTGCAAAAGGTTTCCATTTGCTGTTTGAACATCTTAACACCTCCTGTTTTATTGCCAGAAAGGGTAAAACCTAATCTTATAGCTAAATTACATCTTCCTGCCGATTCACCCCAGTTGCCAGGACATTCTCCCTGGACAGAAGCTCCCTTCTTCTCCTTCACTCTGCAGCAGTCCGGATATGGCACTGCCTCCCTGAAGACATTGTCGACAAAATCACCGATTCCGGTCTTCAGGCCTTCAACTGCCGGACACGCACACGCGGGACATCTCCCGATCTTCACCGCACGCCTTGTATCAGTGAGTTTTTGAGCTGCAGTGAACCAATGATTATGCCGATTAGTTGTACTGTTTGATATGGCTGTCGTTCACAATTGCAACCCAGTAAAACAAAAAAGACCGAATAATGTGGCGTGTTCATTGGGGGCTCTTCTCCTGAGGAACAAAAAGTAAATTGATCACCGGATGTATTTGCCAAATTGCGAATAGTTCTGCTACAACCATGCAGTTGAGGTGCAAATAAGTTTTGTTTTGATTCTTCCTGACAATATGTGTTCCTATGAATAAAATCCAGCGTGGGGTGCGCTCCAAATGCCGTACTCGTCCCGAGTTCGGATTTCTAGCTCAGGAAGCAATCAACACGTGACTAGGTGGGAAACAAGAATGCCATCTGAATGTCAATGCAGCAACACGAAAAACCCACACCACTGTAAAGTCCAGTGGTTGAGAGATACCTGTGGACATGAGGATGCGGCACAGTTGGCAGACAAGAGGGAACCCGAGTGGTAAATGTGCAAAGCATCAACCACAGTCACTCGAGTCCATCAACCCTCCAGGGTCAGGTGGATTATATTATACCGCAGCAGCGTAAGAGATTACGACGGCTTGGTGAGGTCTTCATCAAGTAGCAGATCGATGACGGCTGACGACGACGACGATGATGATGACGATTAGGATGACGCCGACGATGATGATGATGACGATGATTATGACGATTATGATGACGACGACGATGATGATGATGACGATGATGATGATTATGATGATGATGACGATTATGATGACGACGATGATGATGACGACGATGATGATGATGATGACGACGATGGGGATCGTTTCGCTTGATGAGAAGCCACCCGAGGATATAAATCGAGACTGGTCCCCAAACAGAGGAATGTGGAATTTTCTATCGTGGAAACTGGATTATCAGCAGAAGCAAGCACACCACACTGCAATAATTCCATAGCAGTAGCAGCAATAGTAGCAGAAGCAGTAGCAGCAATAGCAGCAGCAGTAGCAGTAATAGCAGCAGCAGTAGCAGCAATAGTAGCAGAAATAGCAGCAATAGCAGCAATAGTAGCAGCAGTAGTAGCAGTAATAGCAGCAATAGTAGCAGCAATAGCAGCAGCAGTAGCAGCAATAGCAGCAGCAGAAGCAGCAATAGTAGCAGCAATAGCAATATTAGCAGCAGCAGTAGCAGCAACAGTAGCAGCAGCAGCAATAGCAGCAGCAGTAGCAGCAATAGCAGCAGAATAGCAGCAATAGCAGCAGTAGCAGCAATAGTAGCAGCAGCAGTAGTAGTAATAGCAGCAATAGTAGCAGCAATAGCAGCAATAGTAGCAGCAGCAATAGCAGCAGCAGTAGCAATAGTAGCAGCAGCAGTAGCAGCAATAGCAGAAGTAGCAGCAATAGCAGCAGCAGTAGCAGCAATAGTAGCAGCAGCAGTAGCAGCAATAGCAGCAATAGTAGCAGCAATAGCAGCAGCAATAGCAGCAATAGCAGCAGCAGCAATAGCAACAGCAGTAGCAGCAATAGTAGCAGCAGCAGTAGCAGCAATAGCAGCAGTAGCAGCAATAGCAGCAGCAGTAGCAGCAATAGGAGCAGCAGTAGCAGCAATAGTAGCAGCAGCAGTAGCAGCAATAGCAGCAGCAATAGTAGCAATAGTAGCAGCAATAGCAGCAGCAGTAGCAGCAATAGTAGCAATAGTAGCAGCAGCAGTAGCAGCAATAGCAGCAGCAGTAGCAGCAATAGAAGCAGCAGCAGTAGCAGCAATAGCAGCAGTAGTAGCAGCAATAGTAGCAGCAGTAATAGCAGCAATAGTAGCAGCAGCAGTAGCAGCAATAGCAGCAGCAGTAGCAGCAATAGAAGCAGCAGCAGTAGCAGCAATAGCAGCAGTAGTAGCAGCAATAGTAGCAGCAGCAGTAGCAGCAATAGTAGCAGCAATAGCAGCAATAGTAGCAGCAATAGCAGCAATAGTAGCAGCAGTAGCAGCAATAGCAGCAGCAGTAGCAGCAATAGAGGCAGCACCAGTAGCAGCAATAGTAGCAGCAATAGCAGCAGTAGCAACAGAATCAGCAATCGTAGCAGCAGCAGTAGCAGCAATAGCAGCAATAGTAGCAGCAGTAACAGCAATAGTAGCAGCAGCAGTAGCAATAGCAGCAGCAGCAATAGCAGCAATAGCAGCTATAGTAGCAGCAGTAGCAGCAGCAGTAGTAGCAGCAGCAGTAGCAGCAATAGCAGCAGTAGCAGGAATAGCAGCAGCAGTAGCAGCAGTAGCAGCAGCAGTAGCAGCAGCAGTAGCAGCAGTAGCAGCAGTAGCAGCAATAGCAGCAGTAGCAGCAGCAGTAGCAGCAGTAGCAGCAGTAGCAGTAGCAGCAGTAGCAGCAATAGTAGCAGCAGCAGTAGCAGCAATAGCAGCAGCAGTAGCAGCAGTAGCAGCAGTAGCAGCAGTAATAGCAGCAATAGCAGCAATAGTAGCAGCAGCAGTAGCAGCAATAGCAGCAGCAGTAGCAGCAGTAGCAGCAGTAGCAGCAGCATGCATCCGCGGCGCATGCCAAACGCCAGTGCCGTGCCCGAACAGCTCGTCCACGAGGTGGTGGAGACTGTCATGTCACAGACTTTAGGTACACACCTCAAGTTATAAGTAGGCTATTACAGCATCTCAGAAAGACGATCACGTCCTCTTGGGAACTCTGCCAATTGTATGTATATAGCGTCTCAAGAGGGCTTTACAAATTGTGGGCAAACTTTTTTTTATATATATAGAGAGGCAGTCACGGGAGGAAAAATCAAAGGAAGATGTTGAATGCGAACTTGAAGAGTGAAAACACAAATGGTTGGAAGGGACTTCTAGACTTTGCGGCAGCAGAGGAGAGAGAATGCGGAAACTCCCACGGAGCAAACGTTGCTAGAATGTGCTGAGCTGAGGACCTGTGATCAGCAAGAGGATGGTTTAAATGTGATTCATCACGCAGAAGGAATGGAAGTCTACTTTGGAGCAATTAAATGTTCCGAGCTTTTGAAGCAGTCATATACAACAGGTGACTGCATGTACGAGACCGCATACCACCACCGCCATGGAGACTGGAGACTGGGCACGATGGGGTGACGATGGTAGAGCACAAGCCAAAGCCGTGCATGATGAGAACAACAAATATCCTAGGAGGATGATCATTGTGCCACTTGATGGGGAGATCAAATATTTAGCAAGGCTTGTGTTAATATCAACCTGACTGAAGCACTCTGGTACCAACCCACATACATCCTCTCCAGCTTAATAAGAAAGAGAACAGATCTGTTCAGTTGACCTCACACAGAGCGATGGGCCGGGCCAATGTACGTGCACATTGTGGGGGGGGGGGGGGGGGGGGGTGGGGGCAGTGGCACTGCGCTACGAATCCTACGACCCGAGTTGGATTCCCCGCCGTGGCAAACACCAGCGGCGAGTAAATATCCGAACCGTGACCCGGGCCTCCCGCAAGGTCAGCTCGGCCTTAAGTGAGTGGTGGGAGCAGTGTGCTGGAAGCTTTATCAAAATTAGCACTGGAGAGACAAAGGCAGCCAGGCATGGTAGTGGCCACACAAGCCCATCGTGCACTGCGCAGCCCTTAACTGGTGCTTGAGAACAACTTTCCCCAACAGTCGCTAATGCTATAAAAGGGCACCGTGTCATTGTGTTTGGTGAAATAACTAGTTTCCCAAAGCAGTGAATGTCATCCGTCTGGTGTCTGGTTTACCTCCGTGCAGTTCGATTAAAGTCACAATAAGAGGTCGGAAAACTAACTTGGCTTATTCGAATATAGAGAATGTATTATTTTACGCTGATGAACTCATATTTTTGCCAATGATAACTTGTTATACTCTGCTCCCAATTACAATTGGAAAGTCTGTCACGTGCCCTTCAGTTAGAATTAAATGTATTCACCGTGCCCAAAATACACACAAAGCACAAAACTGCACACTTAATTTAATATATTTTAATTGAATAAACGGCACTTATTCAAGCAAGATACTGACATGAAATGCCAGTAAGCCACACTTTGTCCATACAGGCACGTAACGGTCCGATTGGAGACATTTAAAACGCAGACTAAAGCAATTTAACACGTAGGAAATAAATGGAATTTTGGGATCTAATTATTTATAGTGTGCCTGTTTTAGAGATGAGAATATGAAGGAATATTGATGTGTCGTCCAGCAACATGTATCAACTCACCCCGACATTAAACGAATAATCATTTCCAAAATGTTGTTCATAATTATAAAAACAAACACAAAATCCACCTGCACATTCGCGGTGTACCATACACTGTCATGAATACGCCTCCGTTGCAACCCACGGGTTGTTTACACATTTCCCGTGAATGTGCAAATTAAAAACATGAACAAAATGAGCTCTCATCACACCTGAAACGATAAAACGTATTTTGAAGAACATATTGCCAAACGGTAGACTTCATAAAACCCATACCTTTAAAAACCTCCGAATTAAATCTATGGATTTAGTCTTTATTAATATACGTTTTACAAAACATAGACAACTGCCATTCGAGAACAATTCTCTTTGAGTGACCCATGACTGCGATCGTTACGGGGGGGGGGGGGGTGGGGAGCTAAGAGGGCGATGCAATACAAGCACAAGCACACCAATTCTGCATCAAGACGGGCTGCCATTGAGAAGCGAACGCGATCATCACGACAGCGGCGACATCACCGAGGAAGACGTTCTCAGTGTGAACTGCACGGATTTGCCGTTTCACCGACAGGTAAACAGACGGACATCCTTGGGAAGGACAAAACCCCACAGCAGTGAAGAGCCTTTGGGTTGGTGTCAAGGTGAGCGAGCGAGCGAGTGAGCGAGGAGTTTCCCGTGGAGGACGTTGCAGCATGTCGCCAGTCACGACGCTTTGCAGGAAGAGACCTTTTTCGCATGGCGGGTTTTGCTCACTTTGAGAAGGTCTGTTCAAAACAACAACATCACACGCAGGGATTGATTTCCCCATCACGCACGCGTTTCTACCCCTATAATTACCTGAGATATTTTAGTGTTACGCTGTAATATTTATTCCTTACACTGGCAACAGAAGCAGATGCAACAATATACACATTTACTCACAGCATGTATAAAGCTGCAAAGTTCACATATGGGGGTGAAATGCCAAAGTTGGTATCAGCGATGTCAACTCTTGCAATTCTAGAGACTCTGCTTGACAGCCTAGAAAAATCAAGAGATGGTTCCTCACGCAAAACTCCTTGTGATATTAATCAGCTGTCGGTAAAACGTCGGGGGCCTGTGCTGTTGAAAGATGTAACAGCGTGGTTGCAATATGAACATGGCTAAGTCCATGGATTTGCCAGGTCTTGAGGTGGCACAAGCGGTGGCTCTAGCAGTGCCACCCATGATTGGCTTTAGAGTTTCAGGTTCCTCTGCATGCCCCTGGTTGGGCCTAACAATTCAAATCCTAGCTAGCCTGACCGAACTTACGGACCCCTTTTTCTTTCATGGCGGTGTGGAAAGGCCTTCATCCATCAGTGGACTAACCAAGGGCTTTATATATTTTGTTTGTATCTTGAAATTATACTCTTGCTACTTGTTTACAAACACACCACAGCCGATGACTGGTCTAATGGGTGGGAGCAGCGCTACAGTGGTTCACGAACTGCGCAACAAACCCAGAAACCGGGTTCAATTTCCGTACTCAGCTAACACAATCAGGGGTAAGTGATTTCTGACTCTGTTTTGCCCTTGACCAACCTGCACTCACCAGCGTGGTGAAGTATGGTTAAATAACCTCCATAAATTAAACAGCACGGGAGGTCTTCATCCAGCAGTTGACTGAGAAAGGCCAGTTACACTATCAAATTATTATATTCTCCCAGACCAGTGGGAAATAATGAATATACGTGCTCCAGATGACGCAGTCAAATGTGCCTTAAAGCGCAGAACGGAGTGACACCTAGTGTTGGGCCAGGGGTGTCTGACGGGCTGACTCCAGAAGCGCTGCAGCGCTACGCCTGGAGACTCTTCTCTGACGTGACGTGGTTGCTCTGTTGCTTGAAGAAGAACGTGATACAATTCAAGCGAGAATTACAAATGTGCGGAACGTGCGTGGTGGGGAACTGCCCCATCACACGATCTGCAATGCTAGAGCGTGCAACTGCAGCAGCGTAGATAGTGCACATGATCGTTGTGAGTGGTCACAGACAATTTTGTGCCGTGTAAAGTAATCTTGAAAACAGGTATAACGTCTCAACTCTGGGGAATCGTGGATAACACGATCCATTTCTCGTTGGGGTTGTTATCTTTTAGTTAAAATTTTTTAATGTTTAAATTTTTTGCAGATCAATCCTCAAGCAATGCCAACACTTGTGAAAAGTGCAAGAACTTTCAACAATCATGAACTAATAATCAGGAATGGTGTTACGTGTATACATCCAATATTAGCAAGATTTTAAGAACATGATTTTTAAACAAATAACTAAAATCTTAAAAATCAGCATGTCACAACGGTGGCAAATGTCTCCAGATGAAATGTAGTGCAAAACAGAGAAAGTGTAAGCCAAATAAATATGTATGCTGCGTGCAATACAAAGAATATATACACACACACACCAACTCGTACCGTAGAAACGTAATGATGTTTACAAGCAAGCCATTCAACTTCAGCAGTGACGACTCTATATCACAAACGAGTCATTTAAAAATTGACCGAACAAAACAAATTGGAAGAGCGTGCGGAGAAGAGCTGCCCCCTCTAACATGCGTTTGCCAGAGGTTACTGGACGGGATCTCGGAGGTGGCTCTGTGATATCCCCTTCCGCGGGCCACTCTCTAACACCAAGGGGAGCACGACTCTACGAGACATCCAAATTTATTCTTTGCCTCATGACGTGACGCCGAAAGCACGAAGCCGATACAATTGGATAACATATCTCATATTACTATAAAACATTTGTATCTAATGCCTCGAGTTTCCTGGCTGGGTGCTGGCCAGGGCTGCTCACCACCCCAACAGTAACTCTGTTGTTGTTGGTGGCTGCGGGCCACAGAGCCATCATCAGGACAGCGCCACCTTGGTCGAGGCACAGTGAGTGGGGGTATGGGGAGACAGAACTCCTTAAACGAACACACATCCAGCCGTGTTAACGCTCAAATGACACTCATTTGGTGAAACAAATTAAATATGGTTACAATTGTTTGCTTAATTTTTTTCATTATTTAATGCTGGTGGTGGTGGTGGTAATTTAGGCCCATCTCTACAGCTTGCTCTCCTGATTATTTTTTTACCCAGGATTGGAGTGGCCTGCTCGGCTTACCGAGAGTCTTCTAGCCTCCGCCTCTGGCTCTGTGTGCTGCTAACTGCACGTGGTCTAGCCCACTAGACCACGGCAGTGAACCCTATCCAACCAGAATTGAACATGTATAGCATAAAATTTGACTTAAAACTTTCGTGACTGCAGGAATTCATATTCTTGGTTCTTTCGGTAAAGTCACGTAGATAGAAAATAAAAATAAAATAAAAAGATAAGGTGGATGAAGACCGCTTGTGTTGCGATCGAAACATCGTGAGTTTCTTGCTTTTATTATTTTAAATTTATATCATTTAATTTCATTTTCTTTTATTCTTATGTTATTTTCTATCTACGTATCTTTACTGAAAGAACCAAGAATATGTATAGAATACACATGTATTTTAAATATTATCGATTCAGTAGCACAATCAGTGCAAAAATCGCCAACATATTTAAATGCAGCATATTTAGATATGTTTTATCATTAAACATATTTAATACCTTTTGATTTGATGTAAACCTGATTGTCAAACATATAAATAGTTTTATATTGCTAATAATCAAATATGATTCATTTTCTATTGTCAATAATGAAACATAGAAATAACTTTTCATCACCAAAAATCTAACAAATTATTTATAAGTTATTTTAACGTGCAACAGCAAAAGCATTTTTTTTTTATTCCCGAAAATTATTGAATATGCTTTCGATAATTGAGGATATATTTTAAAAGTTACGTAGTATGTTGTTCATAATTCAGAATATGTTAAATAAGTGGAATAAATATGTTGTCGAAAATCAAACATATATGTATAAAGAATCAAACAGCAACAAATCTCATGCCACAGAAGAGGTGGCAGTAACGAACAGAAAACTGACACGATTTATTTCAATTTGCTCTCACTTTTCAACGGTGCTCCTATTAATGTAATTCTTTCAGGGAAAACGGGCTCTCCACTAGTTTATATATATACACATGTATATGTTACATTTGGACTTAAATATAGCATAGTATACGAATACGATATGTATTTATAACTTTCAGCTCCAATGTGTTTTATACATATGTACATTGCAAGCAAGAAAGTCTTGCAGGGTTGCACTTGTTACCGATGCGTGCTGCAGCAGTGGATCACTGAGGTCTCTTGGGGGTTCTTCACAGATGGCACGTGGTCATTACCTCTCTTAACCAGGCTGTCTCCCTAGCTGCAGCGCCTCGGTGCTCGGAAGCTCTGGCACAAAGGCCATTGTCATAATCCCAAATTGTGCCACTAATTATTTCACTCAACAGGCAGACATCAGGCGAAGTTTGAAACGGTCACATCAAAAGAAGCGTAACTCGTGCAAGTCGCTAAAATTACCGGTTCATTTCTACACTCGCTTGCACCGGTGGTTACGTGCTATATCTACGCAAAAAATGCATCTCCTTACACGCATTATGATAAGCAATAATGATATTCTTGCAATAACAATCCGCGATGATCAAAGGTTGCTGGAGAGACTTGTGTGACGACCAACGATTGGAACAAAAAAAGATAAAATCAATACGGATATTTTTACTGAATAATTTTTCAAAAAATAATTTATTGAAAACCCCAAACAATATATATTATTGACAGCAATAAACTTGTGTTAACTATATGAACATTAATACCATCTAAGAAAGCATGTGCACTTATCCATGCTTACTGAACCTGTAATGAAACGCCATTTATTTATATATTTTCCCATTGTGCGATGTGTCAAACTCAGTTTGTGGGTTTTAATTAGCAGCGTGGCACGATTATTTTTGACAATTCTCCCCCCACCAGCACCCCCCTCCTCACCCCCCCAAAAAGTAGAGACATTAATAATTGATGGTTTGTTCCCTTTTTGGGAGGGAGGCCTCAGCATGAGGCTGGAGAAGCTGACAGCTGTCAGGAAGTGGGTTGGGGGAGCCCAGGGGGCATCAACAGGCATGACGGAACACCAAGAAGCTTAGGCATCTTCTAAAAAGTTCTTTAGGACTTTTCGTCGTGAGCCCATCTGCCACTGTTTGCTCGAGGGAGCAGGTGGCAGTGGCAGATGGCACGCACCCAGCACACACCTACCCCGTGACCACTCTACGCCATGCTACTGTACCGATGACAAAACCTTCATTAGGGGGTCCAATGCTGGAAGGGGCGAGAAGTAAGTGTTAGGGAGCGAGGGGTTTCTTATTCAACTATTATTATTTAAGAACGAGGGTGGCGGCCGCAATGGGGCGGCGCAAGGGAACGGATAGGACACGGGAAGAGGCGATGTTGACGAGAAGACGGCTCACTGCCACGACGGGCGAGCCGGCTGAGCGTGCAAATCCACTGTCTGCAGGGAGAATCCACTAAACTAAACCCTGTAACTTATTCGCGCCGAATATGGACCAACATGCTGCTGTCTCCTTTATTTCCAGCTCGCAAAAAACCCTTTTCTCTCTGAGGACGCCCGGCCATTGTTTGCCGGGATTAAATTTCTCCCCATTGTCACTGCCGTGACGGGTGCGGCCCATTTTTGGACCCTGGACGCTGTTAAGGGGGAAAGGAAAGGAAAATTACAATTTCAAAGGCAGTTTGGTGGGGAGGTTCCCCCCCCGCCCTCCCCCCCCCCCTTGGATTTCTTCCTCCTGTCCTCTTCACCAGCTGACACGATCTGTCCCCTACTGCCTCCCTGCACCATCGCCCCCCCTCCCCGCCCGCTCCCCCACCCAGCGTCCCTCTCTCCACCGCCTCAAAAGAGTGCCCTCGCTGGCCTCCTCTCCCCTCCCTTCACTCGTGCAACCCATTTTTGTTAGCCCCGATCAATACCGGCACGCGCCGTTGCCACGGCAGCCCAATTCACGAGGCCTTTCATTGAATTGGGGGCTTGGCACCCTCTCCCGAGGAGGAGCGCAAACACCACTCCCGAGGGGGGGGGGTCCCAGAGAATTTGGGGGGCTGACCTGTCTGTGCCCGGGCAGGAAAGAGAAAAAAATACCCCCCACTTTGAAATATAGGAATAAGTAAATAGATATCGTTCTACACAAAGCCAGTGCAAATAACAGCGTGTGTTTGTGTTTGTGTGCGGTTTCTGAAATATAGTGAACATCGTGTTTCATAAAACGTTGTAGACTTTTGCCTAAAGTGTCATATGCTTGCACAACATGTAGGAAGATCAGTCGTGGATGTTTTTTTTTCCTTTGCTACTGCGTTGTTATTGTTGAAAGTTACTTTGCCAGGATATAATTTGCGTTCTTTTAGCTTCCCCGGCAAATGCAAGGCACAACTCAAAAGCAAGTTTGCATCAGTTTTCTTTGTTGCCCCCCCAGTGCTCCCAGTTTCACAACAGCAGACATTTAGGACAATTGGGGGGGGGGTGGGGGGCAGATTAAATCAATCACGGCAAAAGGGAAATGTCCTTCTGGTTGTCGAACTACAAATCACAGCTCAGGGCTTGAATGCATAATTCCACGATGACACTTTTAAGCCTATTACTAGAGCATAAAGCAATCCCACAATGCAGTGCGCACGGTGACGCCGGCAGTTTGAGTGCCGTAACTCTTCCCTGACGAATGCGGCAACTCTCGTGGCCCCGTGGCGGGCGTGCTTCGCCCTCTTACCGCGAGCACAGTGCCTCGCTCCGCAGCCGTCGGGAGCAATAATGGGGAGTGGTTCGCGTTTGTAAAAGCGGAAGGAGAAATTCATGCTCTTCCGTTTACGATTTCACGCTCAGATGTTCTACCGTGAGATTTGCCTTCTCGCACTGTACCAATTTATGTCTTGCGAAGGAGTTTTGTACTCTCTCAATAGGCATTTACCTGGTCCTAAATAAATGCCATTGATTGATTTTTATTTCCCCAGGTTATAAATATCACTTTCACTCGACACATGTCATCCTAAGTTCAAGATGGTGTGCCTCGTGCGTCAGAATTTCTCCCAAAATCACTTTTTCCAGTAATGATGCTTCAATCTTCTGCCATTCAGCCAAAAAAAAAATATTAAATACATGTCCATGAAGAATTGGGAACTTCTTTTGTTTGGATTGTCACCATCGGTGGTGATCACAAACACGACCACCATACTGTACTTTAGAAAACTAAACCCAAGGAACTCTAGAATGCTAATCAGCAGTAATCAACAAAATGATCATCTATATAAGACCAATTTTTGCCAATAATGATAATGATAAAAAATATAATGGGCTTTACCTATTGTTTTCTTCCACAAGCCTATGTGGTTAATGTAGACTTGATGCCTTGCAATAGGTATCTATTTTGTGTTTGAACATCTTAACACCTCCTGTGCTAAGACCGAAAATGGTAAATCCTATTTTCAAGATACCATTTTTAAAAAAATGTGTAAAATATTCCAATTTAGTAATTCGTGGGTCATTTTCGAATTTGACAATTTTGGACCACGACTCCGGCACACAACGGCCTCTACTCGTTCCGATTGACGTGAGCGATCCTTAACGTCCACCACGAAGCTGACGGCGCCTATTACACAGTCAATGCACCGGCAGTATTCACCGGGGCGGCCTCTCAGAATAGAGCCGAGAATCTTCGCAACAAACGGACTGCCACTGGGCCACGTCAGCACCCATGCAGTTACCCGAAGCGCGCACGACAGACGAGAGCTCATACAGGCACACCTAGAGGATTCCGTTGAACGGACAGGATCTCACCGGCTGTCTGGCCCAGCTCCAACGAGTGTCTGTTTCGACGAAAGGGGCTCGCTTGCCTCGTCCGGTCGGCGCTGCCCCTCGGAACGACGTCGGGCGGCACTGCATTGCACACGAGAGTGGAAAGCACAAGGTGATCACTTCCCGATGTTAACTATCTCACCTGGCATACAGGAGGTCATGGGATCGATCTCAACTCTTGACGCCTTTATATTTGGAGTTTGCATGTTCTCCCCATGGTTGCGTGGATTTTTCTCCGGGACCTCGGGTTTTTCCCTCCACATTTAGAATTAACATGCGTTTAAATTATTTGGCTGCTGTAAATTTCCCCACGATTAGCCACTTTGTTAAGCTGTCATTTGTAATAGTCAGGTCGCTTCTGAAAAATAGCTATACAGCTCAGTGGGCCTTACCTGGTAAAATTAAAAAAAAAATTTTTTTATAGTTTATAGTACAAGTCCTCTTATGGATCACCCTACTATCCACGAATCCTGTTGCCCATGGTAATCCACGATATCCAAACGCCTCCTGTGAAGAGATGCTGCACGTGGCTGGGCCTTCGATGCTGCAGGCGAGTTTCTGCCCTGCGGTGCCGGGATCTGCGTGCTTCCTAAACGGCGACATCCGGTGCTGCTCCATCACATCCAGCGCAGACATTGGGGATGCTGGTCCTTTGGAGGCCCTATGCAGAAGTTGTACTTGAGGGGCGGAGGGGGGGTCTTCCTTTCCAATTATGAACGCCTCGTGAGATGACAGGAGAGATAAAGACACGAGATATACAGTGAGGGAAAAAGTATTTGATCCCCTGCTGATTTTGTACGTTTGCCCACTGACAAAGAAATTATCAGTCTATAATTTTAATGGTAGGTTTATTTGAACAGTGAGAGACAGAATAACAACAAAAAATCCAGAAAAACGCATGTCAAAAATGTTATAAATTGATTTGCATTTAAATGAGGGAAATAAGTATTTGACCCCTCTGCAAAACATGACTTAGTACTTGGTGGCAAAACCCTTGTTGGCAATCACAGAGGTCAGACGTTTCTTGCAGTTGGCCACCAGGTTTGCACACATCTCAGGAGGGATTTTGTCCCACTCCTCTTTGCAGATCTTCTCCAAGTCATTAAGGTTTCGAGGCTGACGTTTGGCAACTCGAACCTTCGGCTCCATTCACAGATTTTCGATGGGATTAAGGTCTGGAGACTGGCGAGGCCACTCCAGGACCTTAATGTGCTTCTTCTTGAGCCACTCCTTTGTTGCCTTGGCCGTGTGTTTTGGGTCATTGTCATGCTGGAATACCCATCCACGACTCATTTTCAATGCCCTGGCTGAGGGAAGGAGGTTCTCACCCAAGATTTGATGGTACATGGCCCCGTCCATCGTCCCTTTGATGCGGTGAAGTTGTCCTGTCCCCTTAGCAGAAAAACACCCCCAAAGCATATTGTTTCCACCTCCATGTTTGACGGTGGGGATGGTGTTCTTGGAGTCATAGGCAACATTCCTCCTCCTCCAAACACGGCGAGTTGAGTTGATGCCAAAGAGCTCCATTTTGGTCTCATCTGACCACAACACTTTTACCCAGTTGTCCTCTGAATCATTCAGATGTTCACTGGCAAACTTCAGAGGGCATGTATATGTGCTTTCTTGAGCAGGGGGACCTTGCGGGCGCTGCAGGATTTCAGTCCTTCACGGCGTAGTGTGTTACCAATTGATTTCTTGGTGACTATGGTCCCAGCTGCCTTGAGATCATTGACAAGATCTTCTCGTGTAGTTCTGGGCTGATTCCTCACCGTTCTCATGATCATTGCAACTCCACGAGGTGAGATCTTACATGGAGCTCCAGGCCGAGGGAGATGGACAGTTCTTTTGTGTTTCTTCCATTTGCGAATAATCGCACCAACTGTTGTCACCTTCTCACCAAGCTTTTTGGCAATGGTTTTGTAGCCCATTCCAGCCTTGTGTAGGTCTACAATCGTGTCCCTGACATCCTTGGAGAGCTCTTTGGTCTTGGCCATGGTGGAGAGTTTACAATCTGATTGATTGATTGCTTCTGTGGACAGGTGTCTTTTATACAGGTAACAAGCTGAGATTAGGAGCACTCCCTTTAAGAGTGTGCTCCTAATCTCAGCTCGTTACCTGTATAAAAGACACCTGGGAGCCAGAAACCTTTCTAATTGAGAGGGGGTCAAATACTTATTTCCCTCATTAAAATGCAAATCAATTTATAACATTTTTGACATGCGTTTTTCTGGATTTTTTTGTTTTTATTCTGTCTCTCACTGTTCAAATAAACCTTCCATTAAAATTATAGACCGATCATTTCTTTGTCAGTGGGCAAACGTACAAAATCAGCAGGGGATCAAATACTTTGTTCCCTCACTGTAGGTGCAGCGCAGTGAGAGAGGAGCAATAAAGATGAGATGGAGATCGTGACACGAGAGATGCAGGCAAAAGACGGCGATGCAAATAAATGATTGGCGGACAGATGGTTCAGTCATATTTTTTTCATGAATCCGAGGTCCTTGAGCTTCTTGGGGACCTTTGCTGTTTGCTTGCTTTGCTCTTGCCTCGTACCATCCACCAATCACACATGTTACACGCATGACGTGACGGATGACACGCAAACATCATCAGAGTAATTTACACTCCTGTCAACCGCTGACGGATGAAGGTCTCGCTGCTCTCTATCGATCATGTGGGGTCATCTGGCCATACTTCACCACGCTGGTCAGTGCGAGCAGGTCCAGAACCACTTAAAATAGCGCTTGCCACTGATGTTGGCCATGGCACGGAGTCAAACTGAAGATGCAAGGTTCATGATGCAGCGCCCTGACCGCTTACACCCCACAAACACTGGCAGTTTTAAATTCTGTGAAGGAAATGAATGCAGATAAAGCTGGCATCAACCTGGGCACTGTAACCCCGGGGTGACACATGTCTTGTGTTAACTGCCCATGAGCACAAGGAGAACATTAAAAACTCACGTTGATCCACACACATACCACACCAGGCAAATAGCTAATATAAAAAGCCTATATAAATAAAGGTATTGGAACAGGGATGAGCTCTGCCTCTTACATGTTACTCGGATATAGGGATCTTCATTGCCTATTCTCCCCGACGTCTCTGTCTTGCCTGTTGTAAATTTTGTAAATTAGTAATTTAACAGTGTGAGGTTATTTTTATGCAAGCGGAGTAATTACATTTATAAAGCAGGGATGTATCTCAATTTGGGAATTGCTACCTTCACGTGAAATCCTGCTCTCATGCACGCTCTGAAATTTTGCAAGTGCACACTCTTGTAAATGCAAGTCGTACTATAATGGGGGGGGGGGGGGGGGGGGGGCGATAATGGAGCACTGTTAGCACACTGTGCTATGAACCCGGTTTCTGAGTTCAATCCCTTGCCGTGGGAAGCGTAAGTGATGATTGATATCCGAACTGTGATTCATAATTCGTTTATGTTGTTTTAGAACGTGTAAGTATAATACCAATTTTTTTTAATATAATCCTGACAAGAGGGTTATAGTAAAAACAAAATTTGTATTATACATATACGACCCAACCTAATAGAAATATTTATGGATCAGTATATTCATGGTGAAATCCGACGTAACAATTAGATATATAAACGGGGCATGCACCCACTGCCCCCGTCATTCACAAACCCACAGTGGCTGGTGCGGTGAAGTATGGTTAAACAACATCCAAGATCGAGAAGACGTTGGAATGCCTTAATCCAGCAGGAGACCGACAAAGGGCCGCAAATCACTCTGCTATTTACTTATCTCAACCAACTCGTGAAGTTCCTCAGGAACTGGTGGTTTTTCTGTAACGCTTAAGGCCGAGAGCTTGCTGCACACACGGTGCACGTTTTGTGTGTGCCGCTGAACTTTTCCACACAATGCAAAAAAAAGTCATATCTTATGATACCCACAAATGGTTTTCATATTATGGGACTTGTTAAATTGACAAAACACAAGTACTTGAAACAACAACAACAAAACGTAAACGGCAAACTGCAAACATGACGAGTTAAGGCTGTGTGGCTATCCATAGATTGGGTACTTTTGTAGGACTGGAAATATATACTGTACGTTTATTTTATCACTGAATATTACCATAGCAGCAACAACAACAATTTATATTCACAACTGCCACAAAACACAAGTCACGTCTCAGAGCGCAGGAAAAATTAAATACACTCAGACGTGACATCTCACAACTGTTAGAAATTGGCGAAATATTCTGCACTGTAAAATATATGTTTTTTTAATCAAAATTAACCATTTAATGAAGCGAAGCGGAGTATTTGGCTGAGCGAGCAGTCTCCATGCGTCTTCATCGAACATAGAGCTCACAAACCAGTGCACATGTTGTGTATCGCCATGGATGTGTTATGTATTTAGCAGCTGTCTAGTACATGTTCAAATACTCGATATTGATTAAAAAAATTACACTTTTGAAAGTTAAATGCTAACGTTAAAAATGCTCTACCGTATTGGCCTAATCTGAACAAATAATTTAATTAATTAATGAAAACTGCATCTACATTTTGATTTAAAGCTTTTGTGACTGCAGTAATTCATAGATGGACTCGTCCTTCTAAATAAACTGCCAAATCGCTGCGCGTGGCGCAGACGTTTTTTATAAATAAATACGTCGTTTAAAAATAAATTAATTAATGCAAACCGACACACCTGATGACGACCGTTTGTGTTATGGTCGAAACGTCGTGAGAATTTTTATTGTTTTATATATATTTTATTATTTTATTGTTTCCCTTCAACGTGACTTTACCGAAAGAGCTAAGAATATGAAAACTGCATCTGTCAAATTGTTTTACAGCTCGGGCCTGTATCGTAAGTTATGTTTGCAACTTCATAACGTATCCATACCCATGGCAAATATTCCAAGACAATTCCTGGTGTCCTTGCATTTTCAGGCAGAACCTCTGTTCTGCCTATAATTTATAAAAAAAATATATGATTTTGAAGGTGATAAATACACGTGGAATCGTTTGGAAAACCACCATGGCAACAAGCTGCTTTCAAGCCAGAAGTAATTTTTCCCTTTATGCCGAAATGAATTTCACCTGGCAG